AATTCCAGAATGTTTATGTAATACGTGCAAGCTCTGAGTTTGATCCCCAGGACTGCACAACAACAACAACAACAAAAAAAAAAGACTAAGGAAAACGGCAATTACTAACATACTGAAATAACTCCTACAGAGTTAATGACATATTTTATCTCCTCAGAGACAAATCACAGTATACTATAATAAATCTTTATATCTGCCTCCTTCACTAAACTACAAATCTCTTAACCAACTCCTAGTATCTCTATGGGAAGAGTAAACAGTCAACAAATATTTATTGAATAAACTGAGTAAATGAAAATGCAGAAGTAGACCTCAGTAATTCAAATTTTTATAGTCAAATATTATATTAAAACACACTGGGAGCAAATGGCATACGCCACAACATTAAGGAAACTGAGGTAGAAGGATTATAATGATCAAGATCATTTTAGACCACAGGCCAACTAGGGCTACATAAGATGATGTTTAAAAAAAAAAAAAAAAAAAAACTAATTCAAACTTAAATTACTGGCAATCCAACACTAAATTTTTGAGCAATTTAACAGTCCTTGAGGTTTGTTGCAGTCCTAGCTCTAATACCAACTAATTGTATACCAACTAATTCATGTAAAGTGAAGAAATCTTTTCTTTTTGTTTATTTGGTTTGGTTTTTGGAGACAGGGTTTCTCTATGTAGCCCTGGCTGTCCTGGAACTAGCTCTGTAGAGTTGGCCTCGACTCAGAGACACCCTGCCTCTGCCTCTAGTGCTAGGATTAAAAAGGCGTGTGCCACCACCAACCAGCAAGACATCTTTTCTTTTTTCTTTTTTAATTTTATTTATTTTATTTTACAATACCATTCAGTTCTCCCCCCTCCCCCCCCCCCCCCTTACCCCCAGCCCACCCCCCATTCCCACCTCCTCCAGGGCAAATCCTCCCCCGAGGACTGCGATCAACCTGGTAGACTCAGTCCAGGCAGGTCCAGTCCCTTCCTCCCAGCCTGAGCCAAGTGTCCCTACATAAGCTCCAGGTTTCAAACAGCCAACTCATGCGATGAGCATAGGACTTGGTCACAGTGCCTAGTTGCCTCCCAAACTGATCAAGCCAATCAACTGTCACACCTATTCAGAGGGCCTGATCCAGCTGGGGGCCCCTCAGCCTTTGGTTCATAGTTCATGTGTTTCCATTCATTTTTTTTTTTCAATAATTGAGTAAAACCAAAATTTATTATAAGCTACAGTCGTCCTAGGGACCTCCATGCTATATATATAGCCTTCATGGTTCTATGGGCTGTGGTCTGATTGTTCTTTATTTTATATCTAGAATCCACTTATGAGTGAGTACATATCATAAGACATCTTTTCTTAAAGGTTCTTATTATCTCTAGAATTCCAAGTTATTAGATTGTTTTAAACTTTAGACTTAGGTTTTAGATATATATATATATATATATATATATATATATATATATATATCTGGGCATGGTGGTGCTCACCTTTAATCCCAACACTTGGGAGGCAGTGGCAGGTGTATCTGTGTATCTGTGAGTTCAAGGCCAGCTTGGTCTACAGAGCAGGTTCCAGGACAGCCAGGGCTACTACACACAG